GGGGATGCAGCCCCGCCGCTATCTCAACACACTTGCATATCATTCTTCCATGTTTCTACAGGGCTTCTACTATCATCCTAACAACTGTGTTACATATGTGTGTGTGTGTCAAAACTTCACTCAGCCTCATTTCTTGCATTTTCTCACAAACTATGCATTACAACTGTCATCCTTCATCTTAGCAAAATAGAGACAGAAGACAACTGAGAGATTACTTAGATATGGAGAGATTACTCTGTCACCTGCTTGTACAAAAGTGTTAATCATCTCTGGCCTGACTGAATGTGAAAAATTCCAACCATCTCTGCTTCTTTCCGTTCTTAACACAACATTCCTAGTGAGCCTTTAAAAGTTTCTCAATCCAGGATATGCCCCTTATATAACCCTCTCTAGTCTTGTCTGGTCTGACTCAGAATAAAAGCAAAGTCGACAAGCATGCTTACAAAACTTTATACAACCTCTTCTTTGTTACTGTCCCTTCTTCTTCAACACTTTCATCTACACTGTACCCGCCCTGACTTCCAGCCTCCACAGAATTGCACCCAGATTTCCTGCTCACCAGAAGACCCCACCCCAAACAAGCTTCCTGGTCTTATCCATTGATGTTCAATGCTCAGATATCACTTTATCAACAAACCCTTCCTAACTGTGTAGTTAAAACCATGTCCCCATATTTTATGTTCACTGATGCCAGACACACTGCACACTGAATAGTTCACTTGTTTTATGACTTGATTTCCTGCCTCTTCTACTAGCAAGTGAGCCTGGAAGCAGAACTTGGACAGCCCCCCCATAGCTTTAAACACTACACTTGCTCAGTCTCTTAGAATAGAAATCATGGAGCTATTTTTGCTTTCCTTGATCATTCATATTAAATATTCCATCATTTTTGTTGAATTAAAATCCCCAAAATATCTTCACTGTCCATTTATGTCCATCCTTCCTACATCTGCATCATTCCATGCAGCCATCTACATAATGAATAGGAATTACAACAACAACAAGCAAACTCTGAAGCACAAAAGCTTCATCGTATGTCTCGTGTTTCCTCTGTTTCTAAACCTTTCTTTACATATCAACCAGATGGGTCTTTTCACAGCCTAAATTGTGTTGAGTCAATGCCTTACCTAAAGAACTTCAGTGATATCCAAGCTTATTAAGAGAATCATTCAGGCCACTTTATAGGAAGACCTTTTATAAGCTGGCTTCTGCTTACTATCCCAACCCAATACTCTAATATTCCTGGCCCTACTTTCAAACAAGAAGTGTACCAGAAAGCTTTTATTCTCAAAATCATATCAATCTATTGCCCTATTTTTCAGCTTTTATTTGTTCTGTTTGCTTGTTAAGTTGGTTTGGTTTTATTGGTGGTTTGTTTGCCCAACAATAACTGTTCTCTTACCCCATTCCTCCTTAGCTAAGTAACAAGGCATATTCAGGACAACTTGACTCCTAACTCACAGTATTCTCCAAGGGACCCCAAGAAATAGTCAGACCCATCAGCTGTCTGACTAAGGACTTAAAGCTGTGGTATGAGGTGGGACTTCGTCAATTACTAGTTTTCATTGTGTTGGACAGTTAAATTGAACTTCTCTCAACCTCTTTTCTAGCAGAGGGATGATGCCTGCCATGAACATCTCTGCTTCTGTAATAATAATCTTCTTAAGATTATATATGAAAATATTTTTAAGAACACAAAGAACTCCAGTAATATGAAGTCCTACTACACTAGTGAGCAGCCTCATAAAACTGACGACTTTCTTCTGTTATGAAAGAGGATCTAAAACAACCACCTATATTGAAGTGTTGATTATTTGAGATTATGTGCCCCCCCCCCAAGACTATTATGTCCCTTAGATAAGTGAAAAATGGGGAGAGACAGGATCCCTAAGCTGTCCTCCTGTGGCCCGCTATTTGGTCTTATAAAGCCATACAACTGTGTTCAAAGTGGACAAGGAACAGAAGGAATGACTTTCTACTTCCTTTGTGACAAAGTCAACTTGGTGCCACTTCTAAGCAGGAACAACTACGTCAGCATGATAGGAACTGACTCATCAGAAGCTGAAAGACTTCTGCTCTTCAGAAGTCCATTCCAGTGTCTCCCAACTGCCCTGCTCTTCTCACCTTTCTTCCCCACCAGGGGACTGTGGAGACAAGAGAGAGGAGCTCCTGGGGGGATGAAGAGAGAGAACCATTTCAGTTCCCTTTATCTCCACACAGCAAGCTGTGCTGCTGAGTTAAAAATACATAATTTGGTTTCCAAATCTATTTCAACCTCTGCCTGGCCTACTGAGTAGTCACAAACCATCCAATTTCAATTCACATCTTTGCTTTTAGCTTTATTTTAAATGGAACAGAGCTAAGTTGTATAAACAGATAAAAAGTAAATGCCCCACAAAGAGCTGAAATGGGATTAAAGGAAGCAGGAAGTCAGTCCATATTTACAATATACCTTGGCCAAAATCTGAATGGTTTTCATCTTATTTTTAAAATGCCAAACTTTCCACAAAGTATAAAATGTCATGTCGTAGAAGAGATGAAAGTTGTGGCATATAAAGTTGTGTGATAACAATAATGTTTCCTTTTAATTTTAAGCAGTTCACAGTTAAAATTTCATGTAAACAGAGAACTCACATACTGCAGGTGATAATTCTCACCCTTCTGTCACATTTGGAATATGACATGCTTACAGACACTGTCCCACTTCTGAAAAGTCAGTCATCTGACCACAAAGACTCACGAGCAGAGTGAAAAAAAATCCCTAATTTTGTGCTTTGTGGTAATTTCATTAGCAATTAATCACCTGCTAGCACTCAAGGTAAGATAACTGCAACCCTGCCCCACAGAGGTTTAAAAAGATGGCCAGGTGAGTGGGGATGCAGAACACACAGCAATGTCAAGTAGGATGAGAGATAATGGCCTTGAGACACTTAGCAGCATTGCGGTTGACCCGAACCCAGCACTCACGTTGTGGTCTACACAGTACTATAGGAAGAGGACATGGTAAAGATGCTTCTGTACGGAAGATTCCCGTCTTCTTATTTTAAGTTGTCTTACAGCCAAGAGAACATATTTTTACATCCAACACTTACTAATAAAGTCATATAGATCCAGCTATAAATTGTGCTTTCATTTATGAATATTTAAACTACATGAGTTATATTTTTCATACTTTTATATTTGCAATGTGAAGTTTAAAGCCCTTCTGGGAAGATAAAGCCTCTTTTATTGACATAATATAGTTTCAAGTGGTATCACATCATCTAGAGAATTCTCCACAAAACTATTTTTGACCTCAAATGATAATTTCCTCGTCACTTATGAGAGCTCACACATTGACAAATGATTCATTTCCCTAATGAAGTCTCTTTTCAAATTTTCATGAAGGCAGATGTGATTCGGGCAACCTATACCTGGAGAGACAACAAGGGAAAAAAACAGGAGAAACTTCCATCTGTCCAATCCACCTATAACACTGTCAATATACAGACACCAAAGGAATCTGCTCACTCCATTACAAAACATTTGTCATCAAATCCAGAAAAGAAATGGGTTGGGGCAGGAGACAAGATTGCAGTCCATCACTAATATGCTATGTGCCCTATCAAATTCTCCCTTGTCTGTAGTGCCCTCGTTTGTCTTGTCTTCCAGAGAGCCACCTCCCGATTCTCCCCAAGTCTACTTTGTCCCATCATTGCTTCTCACTCTGTCTACAGTCCTTCTTCCTCAGATCCCATGTGTTCTCCACTCCAGGATCCTATTTTATCTCCTCTCCCACTCTCTCCCTCCTCTGCAGCCTCAATCCAAGGCAGAGAGCACCGCCCCCCACCAAGCTTTAAGTTCACCTTTTACTCATCCCACCACTCAGTGTGGAGCATCAACCCAATCTACTGGATTTCTCCTGGAAATACAAAATGCTACCTGTGCACGAATCGGTAAACTCTACTTGAATCAGCCTAACTTTTCAAATCTGCCAAATGGGGAAAGCCACAGCTTCTTCTTGGAGCTGCTGTGAGAGTTGACAATAATGTATGTAAAATGCTGATCTAGTTGAAATTAATTAAATAAGCAATAGCAATGGTCGTTATTGTTAGCATTTCTATCATTTGACGACTTTAAGTCTGAGGCCTTCTTTAACTCATTTACAGTAGAAAGGACAGGGACTTGGCATTCAGAAGAGTGAGCCAAGCCAAGCAGTATCTTAGCAAGTCACTTTTCCCTGATGAACTGGCCTGCTGGAATGGCTGAAGTGAATTCTATCTGGTTTCGGTGCACTCAATGCCTAGACCCAAACTTGCCATGTAGCCAACTATTGAATATGCAAAGGAAATAGGGTAAGAGAAAAACGTGCTGTGAATGTGTCTCTGTTGAGCGCTTTACAGATACTGATTGGAGGAGGAAATAAAGCTAAACACCCCTGAAGCATTAGAGGAGAAATGTGAGCGACCAGCACCCCAAAGAAAGTGAGAAGATAGTAGGAAAGGACTGGGTTCCCCAGCAGAGCAGCCAGCTTCAGCTTCGTGCCCCAGATTCCTGTCCTAGGCGGAACACAGGGTGAACCTTTGGCAGAGGGAGGGACACGTGGGAGGAGAGAAGACCTGAAGCCAAGCTACCTCCTGTGCAACAATGTACCTGCGCAAAGTGGACAGAATCAAGGAAGCAAACCCCATGCTGTGGCTCAGAGAAGACAGGCAGCCACAGTGCAGCTTCATTTTTGACTTCCCAGTCTCCCCCACCCTGCAGTCAGGTCTCAGGAGGTAATTAATGTGGGGGAGGCCAAGCTCCTGAGGGGGCGGGGAGATGGGAAAGTACGGGTGGAGGCGGTCTTCTTGTCAGAGGTCTCACGGAGCAGAGGAAGAGAGAAAGGGGGGAGGCGCTCGAGAGAATGACTGGTTTTCATTTTTGCACGTGAGGCACACCTAATGATCTTTCCACAAATAGACAAACAGACCAGAGACGGACACACAGAGCACACTTGCGTGTTTTGAAACAATCCGTACCCCCAAATCCAGGACGCAGCCTGTTGTCATAACCATCCAGCAAACTGTCCAGGATACGGGTAAAATTTTCCGGGCACATTTTCTCGTCCTTTGAGTTCTGTCCTGGGGATTCGTTTAAACTGCAAGTGCAAAAATAACGGGGGTGGAAAAGACTATTTTAAGAATGAATCTGAGAACAGGTGGAAAAGGGGTTGCCTTCTAGGGAAAGAGTCGCTGGCCTTAAGCTAAAGGAGGGTTGGGGGTTGGGATATGAAGAACCAAAATGGTCAGGAAAAGCGTATCCAGGGCAGCATGCACCCCCAGACTGCAAGTATCCTCAGGCAGCATGTACCCCGGCACCCGCGCTTCCTGCACCCAACTGCCCACTGCTCTAGGTCAACGGAAAGCTTGGCTTTAGCCCGTATGATACTGAAGACGGTAAGATCTGTTTCGCTCAGGGAAGGATGAGTGGTCAAAGGGGTGCTGTGGATCTGGACACTTGACCACCTCTCCCATGCACCCTTACCCTATGACACCCTCCCACCCCACCACCCCCGGAACTCACCAAGCCGCCAGGCACAGGAAGTGCAGGAGGGCAAGGCTGACCCCGGAGCACAGCGCGATCGCGGGTACCTTCTGGACAGAAACCATCTTCGCAACATGCCATACTTTAAGCCTGTTCACGTTTCCAGGCTCTCGAGATGCCCTGTGCAGGGTGCGAGGAGAGGGCAGAGTGGCTCCCGCGGCGTGCGCACACTCGCGCTCACACTCGCCCGCGCTCACACTCGCCCGCGCTCCGCCAGCCCAGCCGCGGTGGGCGTGTGTGTGCACGCGGCCAGGGGAGGCGGGACCTGCGCGCCCGCCCCCTCCCTCGCCGCTCGCGCCCAGTTCGAGCGGAGCCTGGGCTCAACTCCGCACCTTGTCGCTCCTGCACGCGCGCTGCTCACCAGTGAACTTGGGAGCTCCTGCCACGAGAAGCTAGGCAAGTTTGATCCAACCTGTAACTCAGGGGACACGACCCACGGTCGTTCGTCCCTGCTCCGGGTCACACAACCCCAAGTGAGTCCCCTGCCACAGGACGGGGCGGACTTCTCTCTGATTACACTCGGTTCACCTGGGTTTGGACTGGACACAAAGAAGCGCCTTTCTCTCTCGGGTTGTATGAGGACTTGTCTGTGCCCTCTGAAGAGGATGTAGGTGGAGAAAGGGCGGGATGACAGGGTTTGCGGGGCGGGGCGGTGGGAGGTAGCAAGGAAGAGAAGTGAACCTGTGTGGGGTACAGCAGCCTTTTGACCTCGTCTTCAGAGGCCAGGACGCTGGGCTGCCTGGTGACTAAGGGAAGGAGAGAGTCTTCCTAGTAACCTGGGTGGACTTCTGCCAAACTGTTGGGAAGTTACTGAAGAACACAGCCAAGGCATCTGTCCTGATATTGCTTTAAAGATAACAGATTTTCTTACCTTGCCCCACCGCACTCTACACACACTGGTGTGTGCCCTCCCTTGTCACTCCACCCAGGAGCCATGGGGATAGAGACCTGAGACCTCTTGAAACCTTCCCTTTCAGAATGGATTGGACTGGATTCCAGATGTTGATAGCTTTAAGAAGGAGGCAAAGGTGGCTAGTAGGCAGGAAAAAGGGGAAGAGAAAGAGAGGAAAGGAGGGAGGTGGAAAGATGGAGGGAAATAAGGTGGAAGGGAGGGAGGGAGAGAGATAGACAGAGGCAAGCAGGCAGCCATACAGATAGACAGACAGACAGAGTTGTTTCCTCCATACTTGAGAGAAAACCCTAAGGAGAATACCTTTAACGTTTTGTGCAATAAAGACGAATACTTCAAACAAGCCTATGTGAAAGCATTATTAGTTGACGGGGTGGCTTTTGCATTAATACTTTGCACTCGACTGTTCCATATGATGGGTGGCAATAGTATAAGTAATTTCCATAATATTGGGTTCCTGGAACCAGACGCTGTTGTGTTCTGTTTAGAGCACTAATGACTTATTCACATTTTTATGACTAATGGGCCGCTAGCATACGGAGAAATTAGAAAAGACTTTTGGATGTTTTAATTTTTGCTTAATTAATTCAATCTCCTAATAATTTTTTTACCTTCCAAAGGCCAGCAGATAGTGTAGAGTGAAGAGCTATGAACCCCCATGGGAGTCTGCATTCTGAACTGCTGCCTTGTGGAATTTATTAGACTCCCTTTATCCCATCTCCTGTGGACTCTAATCTTCTTGAGTCTCTTGCTGGGTGTTTGTCGTTTCTCTGTCATTTTTCTGTGTTTATCTCTTGTCACAGCAAAGGATGCACAGCTTATCAGTAAATATGATTGAACAAATAAATCAGTGACTTCCTTAGTCAGATATCTGGCTTACCAAATCTGGTGAAATTTAACCTCTTTCTTTTAGAAAAATAATCAAAAACTCCCTGTATACTGCAAGCATGCCCTGAAGGCATTATACATACATAGACAATGTAAATAACTAATACAATGCTCACAGAATACTGTGCTGTTACTATAGTAACTACTGACCAGCTGTGTGATTGCTATATCACATGGTAGTTCAGTTCCTAGTGATTTATAAATGGTTGTATCAACATACAGTTTTATGTATCAACATACAGTGTATTATCTCCCCCTAATACATGGACATGAACAGACTCTTCACCCACCCATAAGAATTTCCTATCAGAGGATACTATTGCCTAAGCAACTATTTGTGTTATATATTTGCAAAAACTTAATTGTTTTAGTATAAATATTTGAAAAAAATAAAATTTGGGCAATGTTTGCATCTTATCTGAATAACATCTGTACATGAAATTCACAAAGTCAATATTCTCAGGGATTTTAAATCATTAAATATATTGTATACATATCTATAATTGGGTTTGGCACTGATACATTGCTTTTGTGCTTAATGGCCTCTAAACTTCCATATTTATTTGATAGGAAATGCTCTATTTCCTATATAAATTTTCTATTTATTTGAAAACCAGTGTTTTCTGGGGACTAGAAAGAATGCATTTTAAAGGCGCAGGGATCTCAGTAGCAGAATCACCCAACTGTCTGCTACCTAGAAAATTGGCTAATAACAGAGAACAATTACTGTATTCGATCTTCAGTAATTAAACGGGTTTGCAGAAGTTTAAAAGTTGTACTGATTGCTTTTCTAAAACCACGGCAACTTACAAAAGATTGAGTTTATTTGCACTATGATTCCAGGGGCTTAGAGTCCATGGTAGCAAACAAGAGACTTGGCAAGTAGAGCTGGAAGTTGATAGCTTACATACTGAACCTCAAGTAGGAAGCAGAGAGAGACTTTAAAAAAAGAAAGAAAAAACCTGAAAATGGCAATGTCTTTAGACCCACCTCTAGTGGCATAGTTCCTCCTAAACATACCAGACACCACCAGCTGTGAACCAAATGCTCAAATGCTAGCCTATGGAGGACATTCTAATTAAAACCACTATAGAAGTACTCCAAAAAGTCATAATCTTTGTGTGCATTCCATCAAGTTCACATAGAATACTAACTGTTAGAATAAATAGTCTCCTAATTTGTGTCAATAAATTCATGTGGTATAGGTGTATATGTCCAAGTTTCTCAAGACACCAATAAAATTAAGTTACGTATAACTCAGTGTCAAGTGGCAGTAGCTAATGGCGAAAAGTTTTAAGCATCATTCACAGAAGCTGAAAAACGTTAAAACTGTTTCCAAGTGGCTATATAATAAATACAATGCTGTGACTTATATAAAGAAATTTCAAGTCTATTATACAGACCATTAAAATGTCCCTGTTTCTTCATAAGGAAGCATGTAGAGTGTTTTTAATTGTTAATAGTAGAAAATGATAAACCAAGCAGGATTAATGGAGGAAGGAATGAGGAATTATGCTGTAGTAGATTGGAGTGCTATGATGTAACACATTGTTTTCAATTATAATGTAGCTATACCAAAATATCTGAGGCTGGGTAATGTATCTCATAGTTTTGGAGACTTAAATCCAGGTAGTATCACCTTGACTCTGGTAAGAATCCTGCTAGCTACATCCCAACATCGTGAATGGCATCCTGGAAGGAGCTTATGAAAGGAGAGGTCATGTGTTGAGACAGGAAGTCAAAGCAAACTAAAGACAAGCCAGATTTACTCTATATTCACCACCCTTTCATAGTAACTAAGCAGGCGCCTACAAGAACTACCTGAATGTCTTCGAAAGATGATGCCTCAAATAACCTGTGCCTTAGATTAGACTCCCGCCTTTAAAAGATTCTGCCACCCTCAAAACACTGGGGACCACATTTTGGACATATGTTTTGGATTATACTTATGCAGCAGTTAAAATGAAAAAAAAAATAAGATCCATCTACCTATCCATCTATTCATCTACTTAGAGATATTTGCATAGCATATGCAAAAATAAAAGACCAAAAAATAGTTTCAGCAAATATTCATTTCAAATTAATAAAGTAAAAAATAACATTGTAAATTGTTCATAGGCACAAATCTAGCCACTTGAGCAAATTTTCGTGGAAAGAAAAAAAAAGCAAAAAATTTTAGGGGAAAGAAAGAATGAATATAGTAAATGCAACGATCATTGCTTTGTTTCAGTGAAAAAAGTCTGAAGTAAATATGAAAAATGCTAGCCCTTTCCAAATGCAATAGTAAGGACTCAAATGTTTGGTATTTTCTGTTTTTATTATTATTGTTGTTGCTTCTAATGATGACACTGTTTTGAGCAAGTAGTGGTATGCCACAAAGCAATATAAAACTCTCTGTGTTAAAGCAATAATTTACAATGCTTTCCCACAGAATTTATCATGTGGTCATGGCAATTCTCCAAGGAGGTCCACAATACTACTATAGGTAAACACTGGCACACTTATCTATGTCTGACACTGCTTTAGATTTAGACGGTGGACACCTATCTGGGCTACCTAGAGCAGTTGGGATGGGTGGTTACTATTTGCATCTCCTCCCCCATCTCTCTGCCCCCATCTTAGATTGGGCTTCCATAAAAGGTGATGATCTAAAGGTAGTGAAACTCTGAAGATACTGTGCCCTAAGTCCTAAGGAAGCTAAGGACTTCTAAACAAACGCTTCAAAATATAGTGCATATTTCTATTGGTTAAAGCAGGGTATAATAGATTTGTGCAAAGATGATTCACAAAGACACAATTATTGAAGGATATTAAAAGGCCATCTACACATGTTTTAGATACCCACATCTTTCTATAGGAAAATAAAAAAAAACCATAAATACCGTTTAATGAGTACTGTGATGGGTTGGTTGGGAAAAATTGCAGTACACTTATATTTGGTTAAGTACTCTAGATGTTTCTACGTAAGTTTTACTATGAGTAAAATTAAAATTACTCTACAGCCATCCCACCTTGAAAGAGCCCACTCTCACCTGATAAGATTAAAACTAAAGTCACTAGACACTAATAAGGCAGATTGCCTTCTATGCTGAGGTTGTGCCTCACCCAATGGGTTGGAGACCTTAGTAGACAGTGACTAACTGCGGGGGATCACATTGTGGTCTTCAGTTGCATTATTACTTTTTTGTTGGTGATACAGAAGCAGCCAGACAACAGTATCTCAGGCTTAGTCCAGCTCCTGAGTTAATTCCGGTGTTGCTCAGGCAGGATATCCCTATGTAGCCTTTGCTAGCCTGGAACTCATTGTATAGATCAGGCTAACCTGGATTCTTAGGGACCGATAGGCTTCTGTCTCCTGAGTACTGAAATTAATGTATAGTACCATGTCCGACATGAGT